GTTCAGCGAAAGCAGTTTTCTTACTTGAATGTCGAATTTGGAGTTTTCTCTTCAATGTGAACAAAATAACCATATGAAATAAATTGGTAACAATAACTTTATGTGTAAATGTGTTTTGATACTATCCCTTTGTACAAATTAATACAACTATTTTGTAAGATATTAACCACAGTTATTTAGACTATGGATGTATTTAGTCACGTACACTTGGTGTTTATTAATTTTATATTGTAATTAATTGTTTTTATTTTGTATATTGTATAAATCGAACGATTTTTGAATAAAAATATGAAAAATATGAACTTCGCAATATTTCTATTCTCCACACAAGAGTACCTATAATTACAAATAAACTACATCTAATGTTACTGCCAATCATTTAATATATATTATACTTACTTAAATTTCTAGTAATCAAGATAATTTATAGTAAATAATTGAATTTAGTGAAATGGTACAGTAAAACTGTTCACTTTATTTTTTCTATATTATCAGGTCTGATATGACGTGTCAATCAGTTTATTAGTTTTCAAAAATAGTTACAAATTTCCAAAACTAATTCTTCCAACGGATGATCAAATGACTAAACAAATGAATATCATTAGTTAACGGTAAATCTTTTTTATAGTTCAGCTATAGCGTAATAAAATACACGAGATTACACCCTGCATGAAGGCAGTGTGTCCGACTCTCATAATCATAATATAGTGAATATAGCAATGATAAAAAATATGTAGCACTAAACATTCCATTCAGCGTTTATGAGCATTTGACTTAATAATTTTTACGCTACTGGGCGAGAAAGTATTGTAATCACGAAAAACCAAGGAGCGCGGCGTGTATTTTGTGTCCGAGCGTATTATGAAGACAATAAATCGGTTATTACTGCACGACGTTTGTGTCGACATAAAAACGTTTCACGCGATTTAAGAGAAGTTCCAAGCGCCAATGTGATACGGAAATGGATCAGAATGTTCGAAACAACTGGCTCGACAGTAGCAATAACAGCTCGTGGCCGTCCAGTTTCTGCAAGATCAGCCGACAATGTTCGTGTTTTAGTTCAGCGAAATCCGCAACAGTCAACACGTAAGAGAAGTCAGGCTTTGGACATCAAAAGAACGAGCTTGCGACGAATTTTGAAGCGTGATTTGCATTTGAAGGCTTATAATATCCAACAAGTCCAAGAATTAAAACCAGATGATGCCAACCGCCGACTTAACTTTGCCAATTTGATGCTCGACCGATTCAACAGTTTCAACAACGTGACGTTTAGTGCTATGTTTAGAAAGAAATAGAAACCGGCTTGCCAAAAAGGCTCAGCACCACATTGGCTAGCAACGCTGTAGCGGAAGTTCGTGGCAATCTGCCGCGTTACCAATATTGGCGCCTTATGATTTCTGTTTCTGGGGATATGTACGAGCCCCTTCCCACTTCAGTTGGCCCACTTCAAGATTTGTACCAAAATATTCCTTTACAAACTAAACGTGATGAAACTATTTACTTCTAAAACAATTTATTTTCTCAAAACATTTTAGATACACTCTAGTCGTAAAAAATACATATTTGAAATCACTTAGACCTATAACTAATAGAACATCTGAACAAGTAAACAATTTGCGAATAAATGAGCGAAGTTAACAAAGCAACAGTTAAAAGGTTACCATTGGGTAACATCACCTATATTTGTTATTACGGCTGAAATTCTTTGGGGCATAGTGTTAGCCAAGTTTTGGCAAAAATTTGGTGTGAAACAATCCCATATTTCTTGAAGCTTTTGTCTCAGTTCGGTGATTGTACGAGCAGGATGTTGTCGTAGAACCTTTTTCATCTCGTGCCACAAAGTTTCAATAGATCTGGACTCCTAGAAACCCATTTCAAAAGTGGTACATTATTTTCTTCCATCCATTTTATAGCCTTTTTTGAGGTATGGCACGCTGCAGCATCTTGCTGAAATACAAAATCTTAGCCGGATGTCAAGCATTCTTCCATCACTGGGAAGAGCGATTCTTCTAAAATTGCCAAATATTTATTTGTATCCACATTTCCATCAATAAAATGAAGTTTTCCTACTCCTTTTGATGACATAGTGCCCCAGTCCATAAAGGATGCTGGAAATTTCACTTTTCTCTTCAGACAATCAACATAAAATGCTTCAATTTTTTGTGAATAACTCTACTGCGACTGTCACCAACACAAACTTCGAATCGGGCCTCATCACTCCATTGTATTGCATTGTTGAGGTGTCCATTGTCTATGTTCTTTAGCCCATCTAAGCCGATTTTTCTCTTGCAGTGGAGTTAATAGTGGCTTTTCTTTGGCCTATAAACAAGTTGTGCAACTTTAAGGTTTTTACTTCACTTTTTTTATAAGAAAAAATACCTTACAAGTGCTAAATCCCAGATTGTGGGCCTCTCTATGGGTTGTGGACCTCGAAATTCTCCTTCCAACAGCGTCACTCCACAGAGCACTTAATTGTAAATAATTGGCACGCCTGTTTTTCACGATTATTCTTCTTAATGCTCTTCGGTCGGCATTTGTGATATTACTTTTTTTCACATATCGTGGCTTAATATTAACTGAACCAGTTACGTTATATCTTCTAACAATATTTCTTACACTGTACAGCGATAAATCTAACAAAGTTGCAATTTCTAAGTTTGATTTCCCAGAATTAAAAAATTTAATTATCAGTTACCGAATTTTCTCACTAATAACCTTTCCTTTACCCATTTTGAAAACCTTAACTACCCAAAACTATTTTAAACGTATTCTGACAGCTGTAATTAATAAAAACAATTGTCATGGCTTTTATTTGTCACAGCCACCTATGCGTTATAGACTCATTTTGCATTGAAATGAAAATAGGTTGATATGCCGTAATTGCAACATGTGTTAGTTTTATGCTGCAAATTTGATTAGGGAGTGATAAAGTTGGTGTTTTCTACTATATATCAAAATGTTATCAAAATATTCATTATTAATATTTTAAACCTATAACACCCTGCTACATTTTTATTATTTGTGTTTGATAAGAAAAAAACTAAGATTTGAATGGTTGGGCCAACTGAAGTGAGAAGGGGCTCATAGAAACTCCCATTTACGTGCAATGACTACCACTGTGGAGGACTGTTGACTGAAAGTAATAGAAGCATATCTCTCGATGACTCCCACTATGCTAGAATATGTTCGCACAGGTTTCCACAATACGTTGGATTATTGCTCCATTATTTCGAGCAATAATGCAACGCCATCAGGACCGAACCAGAATCCATCCTAAGCAGATTCGACAAAACTCACAATTCAAAAATATATGCACTCAAAATAAAACCATTGTTTGGGCGTAGAGAATAAACTAACTGTGTAACGTAACGGCAACGCGGTAGATTGCCACGATTTTCCGCGTCACCGTTGCTAGCCAACGTGGTGATGAGCTTCGCTAGCCAGCCGGCTTTTATCTCTTTCTAACCTATGTGTTCCTTCACCGCGCTACGCTGCCACGTTGTTGGAAAGCCGGTACCGTTGCTAGGGCGGTTAGCTAGATCGCAATATTTTCAAATCTGTGGAGACTATGGGCTGATTGAATGAGCCTCTTTGACTGACATGATGCATTTAATTCCTTTGGTTTACATGTTCGTAGCCAAACTTTTTCTAAGGCGGACTAAGTTGTGCCAGATATAATCCTTTATGGATTGATAACAGCATTACGTAGGGAGTGCAGAGTCGAGGCCATTTTTTCACTGTTTGTCTGAAGACGGACTAAGTTTTTCCGAATATAATCCCTTATGACAGCATTACGTAGCACGTACAGAGCCAACCTATTTGACGCCATTGTTTACTAATTTTGTAAAGTTGAAATTCTATTTGTATTTTGTATATTTCGATTAATACTTGTTGCATCAAGTAGTTATGTACCGTTATCTTCCACAACCGATCATTTGACCTGTTATGATAGAAATAGGTATACATATATTAAGTGTTGGTACGTTATGTGTTTTAACCTTTCAACTGCCAATTTGACAAGCTTCTGATGGATGAACATACCATTTAAACGTAGGTGTATTTTTATGAGTCTTTGTTCATTAATTCGTGTGGTTGGACAAGAAATATCGAACGGGATGTGATTTCGCCCCTAAAACCAGGCAACTAGCTTTCTCGTGATTTTCTGAGAGAACGTAGTTTTATATTTTCAATCAGTATTTTGAAAACAATACAATTTTTATGGAGGCTGCGCAAAACACTGTTTAGCCTATAAAAAGCTTCAAATCAGCACTAGGGTATCTTTCCGAAGAACGTGTGAACAATATTATTCTTACATCGAGTAATATACTTCCATGTATTTCTTAACATTTTTGAAAGGATGTGATTCTAAAAATATTGCAGAAAAGTTGGTAAAAAACCAAATATCTCCTTAGAAAAAATCCCAAACACCCATTTTTCTTTTTGAAAGATGAAGCGCGAGCCATCACAAACGATACGATACGAAACGGCTATTAAAGCTTCAGAACCAGGCTCAAACTGTCTGAGGCTGCATCATACAGGAATTTTGTCTCACATAGCGATATTTCATCGCAAAGCGAGATATAAAATATAAACATTTCAGAGTATTTACTGGTCCGAAGTATTTATGGCTTTATACCAGGAATCTCACAAAATATGAAACCTGAGGTTGGTACGCTTTAGATCCTAACTTTCCTAATTCGCAAAATTGAAACATGCGAATCAGCTCCTGCTTTGCAAATGTTAGGTTGAACAAATAAACTACAGATCAGATGCTTTCACAATATTTTTGCCCTCCCTTAAGCAACCTATAGATACGTTCACCATGACCAACCTAAAACTTGTCAAAGGCGTTCCGGTGTGGTGAGGGCAGGCCAGTCCCTTACATATGCTACTAATCTCAATTCTCTACGGAAGAAAGTTAACCGATCTCAGATCTTCCATGTTCACTGTACTACAAAGGTAATGATATATCCGATGTTACTGAACCAAACCTGTGTACTTGTTTTGTCACTGCATATAACATATGTACAGTGCACAGGTGCACTAAGCACTCATCATTACAGCGATTAATCAAACTAATTCGAAAAAGTGCGTTAATTTCATTACAAGTCCGTACGCTTCTTTGAAGAAAATCATGGTGACCGAAAACAAAGAGGCGAAAAGTAAGTCTCATTGTCCGTGCTCTAATTTTTTATACTTTACCAGTTATTGGTGTGAAGCTTATAGAACAATTGAAGGGTGGCGAGCATCAACAAATAGTATTCAAAACTAAATTAATATGTTGCTGAAAATATATGAAATTGGTAATTTTTGTTGATCTATGTTAAAATGTAGTATAAGTATGTAGCTTCAGTATGGAAAATACCATCACCATCGTCATTCACATACAGAATCCTTGGATTTGTCAATTCTAACAATTACAGCAAAACACTAATTAAACTTAAGTCCTTTGGATTGGTGCACTCCTAAGAATCACACAATAGTTGCCTTTGTTATCTCTACTTTAACCGCAAGGCATAAAAGAATTGCAAGGACAAAGCAAAATAACTTATCTATTCAAACCGTCTCTTAGAGTATCTCTAAAAAGATAAGTTCAGATGAACACAGGTCGCTACTTTTTTGTAAAAAAAATAGGTTAAATCAAATAAAGATAACGCGCCAATAGCACTCCTAGCTGCTAAAAGAAAATATGTAGATTGCCATCACAATTTGTTTTCCTAAAAGGAAGTTTTCCTTAAACGAATTTCACCAACTTTTAAGAAAATCGACTAGAGAGCTATTAGGATTTTCTTTACGAAATTACAAAAATGGTAGACCCTGTCTCCTTAACCCTTTACGGCATACTAGTTTTCTGGAATTTGGCTCCTGATGGCATTTCACTGTCGATTATTTTTCCTTGTTATCAACAATAAAACAATAGCCAGCAAAATTGCTCAGATTAAACTTGTCATCAAAGAGCGCAGTTTGTACGTTTTTTTTTTTTCGTTGTTTGCCCTTAGCTGCGTTACCACTGGACCGGTTGCCAAATTCCACAAAGCTCTTTCGTCTTTGGCATAGTAGTAACCTCGTGTGAAAATTTGATCAAAATCCGAGGAGTACCTTCGAAGGTATAGACGAGCCAAGGATTTGCAGACAGACCGATAGACAGTGATGTATAGTAAAATATGCCAGTATTGACCTGACAAACAAGGTCAAAAATCGCTTTGAAATGAAGTAGTCTTATAATACTCAAAGGTCACACCTTTAATTTGGATTCTTTGCGAACTAAAAATACAAGATTTTTATGCGAATTTTTAAGCATTGAATATACACATTTCTAGGGCTCTTTAGACATTAAATCGCTTATAACTCGATAATAGTCAGCTTTAGAGAAAAGTTACTTACTCTGTTTCTACGCAATGTTCAAAAATATTTCTGGGCAATCACTAATTTATTCAAAAAAATTGTTTAATTGAACTTGATCTGGGCTACCGTATGGGTAGATTCAAGGCTTTAAAACTCAGTTAAAAATTATTTAAATTTAATTTTTTTTTAATATACCTTGCACCAATCTGTAAAGTAATCAGGTAGCGATGGTGATTTGTTCAAAATGTCTTCAGAAAAACTATTTCCGAAAATACACATTCTTTATGTTACGGGCACCTAGAGGCGACCTGAAGGTTTGGCTAATATGATTTGCCCCAATATCCTTAATTTGGGTTGATAATAATTTGGAGCCCTTTGGAGGCAATGTTTAAATGTAGTTTCGCCTATACCAAACTAATATGAAAAATGCTCCCAAAGGTATCCAAAACAGGATCAATCCAAAATAAGGAAATTTTTCAGATCGATAGGCCCCTAACCTCAAAATAATTTCTTGATGTCGCAATTTGACTCAAAAAATTTAAAAAAAAATGCAGATCGTAAAACAATTTTTTGAATTTTTCCATTCCGTATTTTCGGTTAGGTAATGAAAACCTAAAAATCCACAATATATGTAAGTGCTTTCTTGCGTCCTTTTCACATCCACTAAGAAAATGAATTTTGGTCAGGAATATCGTCAAAACCGGAAAGCCCACATTTTCACCGATTCTGTATAGTTTTTAACGTTTCAAACTCAGGATATCATGAGTCGGTTGTACATTCCTTAAACCGCAATGTCGCTGATGCTCTACAATAATTTCCGACGTTTTTGTTTCGGAAAAGATTACTTGCCTAACAGAGCAACCCATTCTACATTCGAATTTTTACGTTCTTCTGAGTTCCGTTGTCAAAATCATGATTTCTTGTCCGAAAACTCGCGGAAATGTGAAAAACCTGCATCCCAACTGGTTTTTCTCGATTTTTTACATTGTAAGAGTAAGATATAACTTGGCTATTCCAAAGACCGATTATGCAGTTGCGTCTTTGTCGATTATTTCAGTAATCTTTGTCAAGATTGTAATTCCTGGTCGGGAAAATTGTGAGAAAAGGAGCTATTTTCGTCGAGTTTCTTCCATTTGACTCAAAAACTAAAGGACGTAACGCTATTTCCTCGAGGTCACTAACTGTCGAACTACCTGCCCCTCTAGTTCAGCAACTCCTCCGGTTTAGAGTATGGAGACAACACTATAGACTGAAACAGTCACCTGGGTATCTTCAGTGAAGAAAATAATTAAGAGATTTGATGCTTCACGCTCAAAGGGTCAGACTCGAGATACTTACTCTTTACTTTCTACTTCTACTACTTCTCTTTTTGTATCTCCTACTTCAGGCAGGACGGTATTCACAAAAGCTAGACTTATAACACAACTTGGTATATTAACAGCAAATATATACACTTCATGCATGGTCGGGATATCTCAAGTTATAAGTACAAATGAGAGAAATCCCTATCTGAATCTAGCTACCCTAGCGATAGAGCGGAGAAGGAAGACAATCTGTGAACTCGGGATCGAACGGAATCAAAAGCAGTTAAAAAGCAACGGTTAAAGCGGAAACAGTATGCGGTCAAGCTAGCAACCGGTAATGGTGCGATGCGGTAAGCCCAAAGCGATGAACAGTTTCCAGCAATATGGATATGTTTGGGTGAAGAATAAGACCAACCGTTTAGTGAACCCGCGTCTACTTCAAGCTCTGTTTGTCTCGTTCTCGCTTGGATTTCAATCTGCACCCCAGGGAAGTAAGCACAATGCAGACAAAGATGTGCCGCCCTGACTTCTTGAACCCCAAAGCAATTATAAAACTCCTAAAATCAAGGCACGTACTATCGCTAATAGACCTTTAAACTAAACCAATCTAATAGCTTCCTCATGAATGTGTTTACCAAACCTTAAAAAAAATAATATTGGAGTCGCAACATTTAGTGATAATGACTCAACCTATAAAACACATTTGTATATCTGGGACTTCTCTATAAATATGTGCAAATAATCTTCAATAAAAGCGCTTTTGTATAATGGAAGTCCCAAAGTACTGCAATGTGCCAATACAGGCGCGCAGAGTCTACCTACTTGACACATGTCAACTCTCAAAGTGCCCAAAGTAAGAGCCAGAGACCAAACGGGACGGTACGGTTCGTCATTCTGTCGGTATTCGGTTAGATTTGTTTCGACGGTCAGCTGTTATTTGCCACCAGAGAAGTCCACTAGGGTCAACGTAGGCTTAGACCAATTCAAACGTAGATATCAAGATTTAACAAGAAATGTCTCATTTACGCCGTTCCACTTTTAAATTCCTATCCTTCAACTTGAATTCAAAACAATTCGCTGAGGCTCAAATGTAAATTAAGCTAAGGCTGGTAAACCCATTCATAAACTGTTTGTTATAAAATATTCTCAAAGTCTGACTCACAGTTATTTTTTTCCTTCAGCAAACTAGTTCGGTTAATCAGAGAAAAATAATTCTGGATTAGGCTGTGAACGGTAAGCAAAATTTCAACAAAAAAAAAAACTAAATCCAGAATCTCAAAAATACTTCACTTACGGTTACCAGAATTACCACTATATCACTAAAACGGAACGCGCTGGTTAAACGGAACACCCTTTTAACTCACCTCCTTACCTCTTGGTACAAACGGTTACTCCGGTACTACGGTCGGCTGCCAGAAGAGAAGAACGGAAAAAAGTTGCCAGGAGAGAAGAGCGGAAAAAGCCCGCGCTTTTATAGCACTCGGCAATGTTCTAGAACCGACCTTGGTCGCTACGTCACACCGTCCGCCACTGGGAATCTTCTTAACGAGACGCCGATGTGGTGCATTTGATTGAATCAAAAGTATTTCTACTCGATTCCTTATGGCGTATCCTATAAAATGAGTGTCCACACCTCTAGGGCATCTCGTTCCCAAAGGCTAGATCAGACCCTACAGGGTTTTAAGTCCCAAAAGGGTCTATAGCCAGTTCGAGCGCCTCCCCGATGACCGGCAGTGCAACGGCTCCATGCAGGTTGCAATTCCCGCACGCTGACCACTCTAATGTGCATTTAAACCCGGACTACAACCAAAACGGACATTAGTGCCTTTTTACCCAATGTCAGGGACCTTACAGGGCATACAGCACCAAGAGCGTTGTGTGAAAAGTCTCCCAAGGCATCAGGATGTGGAATGAAGAGTTCTCATTCGTGATAAGGGCACTACACGCCTATTTCAGCCAGTGCCTCGACACGCCACTTTGGCGTGTTGTTTTTCCAATGCAAATCCCTGAACCTATTAGCACTGCCTCATGACATATTCCTGGCGTCCTGAATATCGTCTAGTGCTACCACAAGGCTTAAAAATTGATTTAAGTCGTTTCATTCATTATTATAAATTCTAATACGGAAAACGAAAAATATCAATTTCTGTCTATTTCTGTGTGTAACATATGGCTGTGGTATGTCATAAAAACATCAGGTTTGCTTGGGGATTCGAGACTCTTTATAAAAGACGAAATAATATATAGAACATGGCACTATCCCAATTTTAGAATACCGGACCTATAATTAATGGATAATATAAAATTTAACGTCTTCGAGAAAACGTGAATACGAGGGGAGGTCAGAAAGTACGCAATTCACGGCACCGTGAAAAAACTTTATGTCAAAGAATGCTTGGCGATCTCAAAAACTTACTATATGTATATATGTGGGTTGAATTTCTGAGAGCAGAATTATGATACCCTACTAAATCAGGAGAAATGCGGTGATTGATTCGTGGCGAGGAAACATTTTTAGAGGATAGATATACTTCTTTGGATCTACCTTCCATCTACTAGAAATACTCCTGATTTTGAAAATACTGCTTTATTTCGAAGATAAAGAGCAATCAAAATTTAAAAAAATTGAATTTTTCATCAACTAAAATCTCATTTCAATCGACAAAAATGTTCAATATGCTATATTTAGCTGGAAAGAAAGGCTCATATTTTCTCGAAACAGACCACCGAATATTTTCTCAGAAGTACCAGGGTTGTTTTTTTGCTAATAACTTTGGACGGTCTCATAGGGAATAACCCAGCGTTTTTAATCTATAAATCAAGCAAACCATAAAAAGGTGTAATACCCTTTTATTTAGAAACTTAAAGAAATTGAATTATCGTTTAAGTATTTCCAGTCTGAAAATAGTATTTTAAAATTTTTCGTTCACTTTGTTACTTTACTTTACTCTTTGTGTTTCTCTCATTAATTCCTTCCATTTGATTCCCATAATATAGGGGTTACCATAAAATGATGACTTGCCATTTTGTAACATCTGCCATATTGCATTCAAAATGGCCACCGTTATTTCATTTTGTTTGGTCACGCAAACCGAACTCCTTCAAAATTCACTTCCAAGATTTGTTCCACACATACACTACCGTGCAAAAGTATAAGGACATCATCAAAAAAATCTATTTTTGGAATTTGTGCCTGGTTTTTATTGTTTTATTATTAAATCTTGTATATAAATCAGAAAACAGTCTATATTGTTATGATTTATATCAATTTGCCTTAAATTAGCTAATTATTATTAGTCAAAATGATGAAATTATGAAGGAATCAAAAATTCTTATTTCATATTTGGGCTGTAATTTCAAGTATAATAACTATTATTTTATTCTGAAGTACTCAAATATGAACGCTAGAGTCTTAAACAGTCATTCTGGATCATTTGAGTGCTTGTCTAATAAAATATCAGCTATTTGCGCCCTACTTGTGTTCCGTATGTACTAGAACTGTCAAATTAATTCCCATCGTTGTTTACACGCGCAAAACCGATTATATTTGCTGAAAATGGCTAGAAAAAAGGAAATTTTACTTGAAAAACGTTCACAAATACTTATTTTGGGAAAAGTGGGTAAAACAATTCGTGAAATTGCAAATATTGTTGGTGTTTCGAAGTGTGGAGTGGAAACCACATTGAAGCGGTTTGCTGTAACCAACTCAAATTTTAATCGAAAACGCTCCGGCTGACAAAAAAAAACAACCCAAGCTGTTAACAGAAACAAAATCGGTTCAAAACAGCACCAGACATTCGTGCCGAAATCAACAAAACCCTGATTAACCCAATTTCGGTGGATACTGTCAAACGTCGTTTGCGAGAAAAGGGTTATTTTGGTCGCGTTGCTGTGAAGAAACCACTTCTACGACTACGCAGCAAGCGGAAAAGATTATTGTTTGCTCGAAAATATAAAGACTGGTCAGTTGATCAGTGGAAGCCTGTGTTATGGGACCGACGAATCAAAGTTCGAGATTTTTGGATCTAGGCGACGCCAGTACGTTCGTCGAAATAAAGATGAGCGGTATAATCCCCAGTGTATTGCCCCAACTGTTAAACATGGCGGAGGCTCCGCGATGGTCTGGGGCTACTTCAGCTATGATGGTGTTGGAAAACTGGTCAAAGTCGAAGGAGTAATGCGGAAGGAGCACTATCACAATATTCTTCAACGAAGTGCCATTCCATCTGGCGTTGGTTTGATCGGCAACGGATTTATCTTTCAACAAGACAACGATCCCAAGCACACCCATCTGTGCATGAACTACCTACGGTCCAAGGAAGAGGAAGGTGTGCTCAAAATCATGGATTGGCCGCCGCAATCCCCTGACGTCAATCCGATTGATTTATTATGGTATGAGCTCGACGGGCAGGTGAAGCACATGCACGTGACCAGTGAAAAACAGTTGTTCGGCAGTCTAAAAGTGGCTAGGAAGAATATTGCGACTGAAACACTTCAAAAACTGGTCAGAAGGCTTCCAAGAATATTGATGGAAAAAACCTAATTTGACTTTTCATCTCTTCGTTAGTTTTAAACATTTTTACAAGAAATAGTCTTTTCTTAGGTTATATACAAGATCACAAATTGATGTTTAAGACAAGAATAACCAATCACAAACTCAAAAAATTGATTTTTTCGATGGTATCCTTATACTTTTGCACGGTACATACTGACCAACATACTTACTAACAAACGGGTCAGGTTAAATAAAAGATTATAAAAATAAAGGTTCATGGTGTCACACTACGTATGAAAACAAATAATAAAGTATTTTTGTAACGTCATGGATAACAATGAAAATTGCGTGTCATGCAACAATTCATCCTATCCGTAACTCACGCATTTTATCTGATGTTTTGGTCAAATTTTATACAATTATTTCCTCACCTTGTAAGACATCACTATCAGCACATTAATGTGGGTTTGGTTTGCGCTTAGCTTACTACTATATATACGTGCAGACTTACTTTAGCAAAACAGTATTAGATAGTGGAGTGTAAAACAGCTTATGACATATTATCATCGTCATCATTTTCTGTGGTAAAATGGCTGAGAACTGGTATACAATACCCAGTGAGTAGTTAATTCATAACTTTTTACTTGCAATTACTAAACTACAAGTCAAAAATGTCATAAGAAAACACCGATTTGGAACAGTTTAACACATTTATCAGTATCGTTCCTAGCAACAGTCGTAATTGAGTTATTTTTTAGTAGTGATTAACGTATTCTACTTGAAAATAGCGAACCTTATGCTATATTTCCGCGACCGAAAAATTATCCGAGATAAAATGGGTTACCGTAGCGTACATCTCAACAACCGTCTTTCTTGTATGATCAATACAATCTACAGCTTTGCTGGTGATACTACTCCACATGCAGGATTCAGAATGCCAAGCCGATCTCTGCCCGTGAGCTGGAGAAAAGAAGGCGGGTAGACGCTTCCTTTCTGACGACAGATCTGGAAGCTATCACTGCTTGGGGAAGAAACAATCTGGTATAGTTTGTTTCCAAAACGCAGTGCTGTACTTTCGCTAACAAGAAGCACCCTAGCCGTCGTCCGGTTTCGGTGGATGACCGAATTGAACCAAAGAGTCGTCCATTTTGGGTAGGATATTTGTTGCGGGCTAAGGAGTACTTTTCTTCATATAATCGGTTTGGTGTATAAAAGGGCCAGATAAGTCCTAGCCTCGAGTACTACTCACTTGTTTGGAGTGCTGCCACCCTGACTACATGATCCATGCTCGATGCTGATTAAAGCTGTCTGACTGAGCGATGACTGTTCTCTAACATACAGTCTTGGGACCCTTTCGCAAAGACGGGAGGTCGGCGACCTAACTCCCTTCTATCGCCATGTCAATGGGCTTTGCCCCTCAGGGCTCTCCTCTACGAAACCGCCACGAGGTGAGCCTGCCAGACAAACCCGCCTCACGTCGCTCCCTCATCCTAACTTTGTCGAGTTTCGTACATGTAGAACTGTCATGAACAACTGCTGCTTTGTCCCTAGGGTGTCGAAACTGTGGAACAATCTGCCTAAGGAGGCTTTTACCAATTTTTCTAACTGCTTCTGTACAGCTTTGAATATTAAAAAGAATGCTCAGCGTGTTTTCAAGTAATACGCGCCATGCGACGCCAGCTTTAATGCATAGTCAATAAGCAATAACCTTTTGGCGAAGAAAAATAGGTACACAAAATGATTTCACGCCAATACAAACAAAATTGTGTGATGTAATATTTTGACTATCTGGCACACAGGTTGCAATGATAATTTGGCAGCTACTTCTAATAGTTAATGATAACGTGGTCTTATGTAATCATCTATTTAGACAGCTTATCGCTTACTTTAATTGTGCATTCTTATGAGATAAGGATTGAAATTGAACTTGAACTTCCTAAGTAAAGGTCGCTATATGGATAAATATACGATATTTGGAATTTCGCGCAATAAAATCTTAACCAAACCAAGAGATTGTGAAAATAAACCTTTCAAATAGTGTAAAATACTTCGTTTATTTTGTAACATATGATGAAATTAACGTATCCATTAAGACCTTGGCAAAAATTAACAAAATGTATATTCCCCCTGGCATGCTCCATTCCCGACTTTCACCACAAATATCAGCAAAACTCTGTATATGTAACTGGTATAACAATATATGAATACTCCTTGTATCGCTAGATACACACTAAAACCTATTTCCATCAGAATTCTTATCACCGCATGAAAAAGTCACGGCTCTAGTGGTTCTTGAAAATTGTGTCAAACTTACCTGGTGGAATTCAAATTACCCATTTTCTTGAAAATGTGTCAATTTCGCGATTTGATCTTGATCAATGCGTTTCAAATCTAGAAATAAATTTGAAGGTAGCTGTTGCCAGTGGTTTCAGTGTTTACCCTGATAAATACTTCTTTAGGAAATTCAAACATTACCCCAACTATGTAAAAAACAACGGTTCTTGAATACAATAGTAATGAGTCGCATACAATAATATAATAATCAACGTATCTTATCCTTTTTTTCGAGTTCATCTACTTTTTTGTCATTATCGTGGCGTCACTTCTCGACACAGTTTACATGTCAATTGTTTTTTCTACGCCTCTTCTTTTTTTGCTTCCTACTTTTTTGTCATTTCTTTGCAATAACGAGTATGATAAAGGATGCGAGCCGCTTTCAAAATTCAGCTTCCAAACACAACCACATATCAACAATGAGCTCAATCTAGGCATACGATTCTCTCTTGTTTCAAGAACGATGGAGCTTGAAACCTGTTATGGAATTTATCTTACATTTAAATTATATTTTTCATGGTTTAAATGTCACCTTCCTGGCGACACATTTCCCCTGGTATCTACACAGCTATTTAAAATCAAAATATTTTGTATCAATATATATAATATATATATGTATATATTATATATATATATGTATATATATATATATATATATATATTATATATATTGATATATATATATATATATATATATATATAGGTGAAAAATTAAAGCTTCCGCCTTTTGTTGGGTACTTCGACAAAATGTAAGCAAAGGGGACTCTTTATACTTTGTTAATCTCTCTAGCTTTCAATGGTCTTTGCCATCATCATCAGGAGAGTACTATGTGAGGATGTTGCTAAAAGTTATTCACGTTTAGGTTGAGGGAAACACCCAGTAACCTGGCCAAAGCTGGATACATGGTAAAATCGTCAACATTGATACAAACTACACACAGCTGTATGTCAAGAACAAATTAAAACGGATTAAAATTATTTTATTTAAGTTAAAAGTTACATCTTGAACCACCTGAAGATTGCCCGATCGTGATTTTTAAATATTTTATTTCTTTGAGCAGATCGCTATATGGATACCTTCTCCTTCAAACAAGTTCTAAAATTCATAAACTGTTTTACTCAAGACCATTAAAATGAATGAATGAGATCTTATGAGAATACAATAAAAATTAAAGTTGTAAGAAAGAAATTAGTCAAAATGGTAGGCCCATATTTTCCCAATTTGTTTGTCAAGACGATTGTAGGACATTTGTCACCCGAATGAAATGTATATTATTTAGAATGTGTTAATCGAACACTCAGAGTTTTGAATACCACCCTGTTCTAGCCTGACGCCTCTCGACAGCCGTTCCGTCGCCCGGAGGCGGTCAGGGTCTGATCACGCCTATGAATCATTACAGTTTTAGCTAGATACATTATAGCTTGGTGGCTTTCCCAAAAGACCTGTAAGCCACAAAGGAATAAGATCTCCTACAAGAAAGGACAAAAATTAACATATTATGGACAAGACGCTTACATTTTGAGGACGATTTGAGATTCGGTGAAGTGTTTTGTTTCATAGTAAGCATGTCAACAAAATAATTAGAAGGCATGTCAGGCGCGATTAACAATTTTAGAAAGAACGTGTTACGCAATATGTTTTTTATCCGTCGCACACTTGTCAGATTACACATTTATTTTTTGTTTCCCAGATGCTATTAAGAGCAATTAAGGGAATGATAATTATAGCAGTTACAGTAATTGCAATTATACACAAAGTTTCTGAATGATGTTACATCGCTTTTTCCTTGAGCAATAATTTACAAAGCAAATAATTGTTTCGCTGATAACCCGTGTAATCAGCATTATCCACCGCAATGTCATATTGAGAAGTAGATTTCCTGTCCTTATTATTGGTGAATAACAGAAAAAACAACCCAGCTAAGTGACGAGTATTATTAAAAATTGGATTTCATTATGTCAGTTTCTCAGTAGTATCACTTCTACTACTACCGTGGGCTTTCTGAAATTATGAAGATCTTCATGAATACACTGGCAACATTACACAAATTGATTGAAGTTTCCCGAGCAGAACTCTTGTTCTGCTTGTTTTACTTCCCACGCCACTGCCAAGGCAGTATTGTAATTGCAAAAAAAAATCGTAAGATAGATGTCTTTTGGATCTTACATAACTAAGGTATGTCTGTGCCTGGGGTCTGTTCCCTAACCCTTAGCCCTTCTATAACTCGGCAGGGTACGGCTATTACGTCAAAAACCTATAAAACGCAAAAAAACAATAAAATGTCATTTTGCAGACTAGGTTGTTTTTAGGGTACAAATAGTTCATTCCACGCTTGTTCGCTATGATCGCTGTGAGCGTCCATCTATTTAGGAATGACTCACTTACACGCACTGTTGCAGAAAGCAAGCATATGTTGTGTGAAGCTGAGTAGTCTGTAAAGAAGATGTGAGAGAAACAAACTTGTTTGAATAGCAAGATCGCATCTGGATGGTTGTGTAGTCTGCATGTTTATAAAATTAGTGGTACTTGCTGTGTGAAAAAATTTTAACTGAATGTGCTGCCAATGAAGTATACCTATTAGCTGTGTGCGACTGATTCTTTATATATTTTCCTCCTATAAGACAGGTTATATTCAAAGCTATAAATTACTATTTTTTCCGAATTTGTGTGTTTTCAAAAACTTCACAGAAAAATTAAGAATGATGCATCACATATCAAATATTTTCGCAATGCCTCACATCTAGGCGCTGATTTGTATTTTTTATTGACATCACAAAATAAGTTTCTATAAAATTTAAATATTCCTGTCTGTAGCATATTTTCTCGCCTGTTCCTGCAGCAACCAGGGATTTTCACTTTTTATCTCTCTTATTTTTGAAATTCAACGAACTGGCATATGTAATCTCCAGAGTGAATAAGCAAAAGTGGATGCGCAACTAATTTCTAGCTTTGAATTGCATTTGAGACAAGAAACCAATGAAATTATCATTAACACATGTTATTAGCACACCAGTCCCCACTTTGCAACTATTTACTGCCGTCTTCTTCTTGCTATAGTATACAACTTACAGCTTAGACCTACAATAATGCCATCTCTGAGGCAGATTTTACATCACATCAGAGCCAAATACTGATAACTGAAGAGTCATGACGTTTAGGCAACACGAACAGCTACAAAACGAGTTCAAAACAAATGTCCATCCGCTAATGCTAAGTTAACATCTTCTTAAAATAAAAATAA